CAGGTTCAGTATCCAAAGATTGTTACCAATATAAATAGTCCAGCATCCACGAAATCTTCTCCTCTCACCACGGAGATAGTCTTCCTCCAGGATCTTCCTCTTGCAATGTAGCACGTCTTCATCCAGCGATGCAGCATAAATTTCTTTCACAATCAAATAAACAGCTCACAACCACCAACTACCCAACTACCCAACAACTTGTGTCTGCAAGCTTGGCTAGCTTTATTCTTGGTTGCTCCAATCAACTTGGTTGTCCCACAGCTGTCTCAATTAACCCAGCTGTATTACTTTGGTACATGTTGCTTACTAAATTCTGATCCTGTTATAACTTCTACTGAATTGCAATGAACAATTCCTAAGGTTGATTTGAGACCTGTCACTAATGCAGAACAGATTCATGGAAGGATGGAAGCTGGGCAAGGAGTAAATTGCATGTGTTCAGGGGGAGGTGGGCAGGCAAGCAGGAAAGAAACTGGAGGTTGAGCAGTCGTTGATGGCATTAGGTTTTGACCTTCAGTCCCAGGTCACAGCCTCTGTTTCCCCCATTTTCATGATTTTTCACTATTTGGATGGATATGAATATGCACAGAACTTTAAAATATTCAGGTACATGTTAGATGAATTGCATAGGCTACAAATTTGCTTGAAGTGAGTTGGCTGAGATTTGTAATTTGAACCAAAGGGAAGCTGATGGTATGTGTACATTCTTAGTAGTAACGCACACCATGACATGCCTTTCTTCATTGCCTATTTTTAGTGGCCATCTAAACTGAAATTGGTCATTCATGAGATGTGACAATGCCAAATGTAGCGGGTTATGATAAAATTGAGCTGTGAAACAAGGAGAATTTGGTTTTAGGGTGCTGTTTTAAGGAATATGGTGTGTTTTCTGTAATTGGTTCGTCTCTCTTAGCATTGTGATAATTGTTAGCCCCTCTGCACACACATATTGGTGCCAGGCTATATTACTGTTACAGTGTGACTTCTATGTTAATGTTTTAAGTCTTTTTCAAAAAGGTACTTTTAATAATACTGGCTTATTGAGCTACGAAGTTCCAGACTTTAGCAACCAAACCATTCAGTGCTATATGGCTCTCTCTGGTCAGCAGTTTCTTCAATAGCTTCTTAAATTTATACCTGGATGCAGTCTACAGCTGCGCAATGGCCCATAACCAATTGACAGAGGTGCGGCATTACCAGACTACGCCAGGGGGCGCTATGATGAAATGAACTGCTCAGAGATGAAACCAAACAGACACTGTTGTAGTGTTGATAGAATTATTTACATTAAAGTTCATATATACAGGTATAAATACAACTTCTCTTGGTCTTTACACAGTCCTGGTCTTTCACAGTAGTTCTTCAGTTTGCAATAGTAAATTACAGGTTCAGTATCCAAAGATTGTTACCAATATAAATAGTCCAGCATCCACGAAATCTTCTCCTCTCACCACGGAGATAGTCTTCCTCCAGGATCTTCCTCTTGCAATGTAGCACGTCTTCATCCAGCGATGCAGCATAAATTTCTTTCACAATCAAATAAACAGCTCTCAACTACACAACCCCCAACTACCCAACAACTTGTGTCTGCAAGCTTGGCTAGCTTTATTCTTGGTTGCTCCAATCAACTTGGTTGTCCCACAGCTGTCTCAATTAACCCAGCTGTGTTACTTTGGTACATGTTGCTTACTAAATTCTGATCCTGTTATAACTTATCTACTGAATTGCAATGAACAATTCCTAAGGTTGATTTGAGACCTGTCACTAATGCAGAACAGATTCATGGAAGGATGGAAGCTGGGCAAGGAGTAAATTGCATGTGTTCAGGGGGAGGTGGGCAGGCAAGCAGGAAAGAAACTGGAGGTTGAGCAGTCGTTGATGGCATTAGGTTTTGACCTTCAGTCCCAGGTCACAGCCTCTGTTTCCCCCATTTTCATGATTTTTCACTATTTGGATGGATAGGAATATGCACAGAACTTTAAAATATTCAGGTACATGTTAGATGAATTGCATAGGCTACAAATTTGCTTGAAGTGAGTTGGCTGAGATTTGTAATTTGAACCAAAGGGAAGCTGATGGTAAGTGTACATTCTAGTAGTAACGCACACCATGACATGCCTTTCTTCATTGCCTATTTTTAGTGGCCATCTAAACTGAAATTGGTCATTCATGAGATGTGACAATGCCAAATGTAGCGGGTTATGATAAAATTGAGCTGTGAAACAAGGAGAATTTGGTTTTAGGGTGCTGTTTTAAGGAATATGGTGTGTTTTCTGTAATTGGTTCGTCTCTCTTAGCATTGTGATAATTGTTAGCCCCTCTGCACACACATATTGGTGCCAGGCTATATTACTGTTACAGTGTGACTTCTATGTTAATGTTTTAAGTCTTTTTCAAAAAGGTACTTTTAATAATACTGGCTTATTGAGCTACGGAGTTCCAGACTTTAGCAACCAAACCATTCAGTGCTATATCTAATGAAGAAAAGGGAGTGAGACATACTTGAGCGATTCTTTTTCCCCCTAGATGTTATTTGAGATCCCTTTTAATCAATCACATTGACATTTTCCCTTAAGATAATTTCAAATAGTAAAGTACAACTTAACAATGAGAGGGTAAAGTCTCCTTCCTGTGTTTATCGAATGAACTTGATTTTTAAATCCATTTCCATGGCTGTATGTTTCATTTAAAAGCAAGAAAATTACCACTACTTGATTGAGTCAAAATGTAGTGAAAGGTATATATAGTCTTGCATTTTTTATATCACATATTTTTAGCACAAAACTATGGAATGAGACAGATATAAATCAGGCTTGTGGAGCTAAAAATTAGAAGCTGTAATATTTAACTCTTCTATATAAAATAGAAGAGTTTCTTTTTTAAAAAGAAAGAAAAATTAAACAAGTATATTGTTAGTTTTCATAACATTCTATTGTGGTCATGAAAAGTATGAAATATGTGGCTGCATACTAGAAAAAGTGTACCATTGTGCAGTATTTAGAAATCTCTTAGCATGTACACCGCCCATTGTTCTTTTTCTTCCCCTCTCATTTTCATTTTCTGCCCCTTGCCCCTTGTTTTTTCATGAGAGCCTCGTGGCTCAGTGGTTAAACTGCTGTACTGCAACTAAAACTGTGCTCATGACCTGGGGTTCAATCCCAGGTAGCTGGCTCAAGGTTGACTCAGCCTTCTGTCCTTCCAAGGTCAGGAAAATGAGTACCCAGCTCGCTGGGGGGGGGGCAATGTGTAGCTTGTATAATTAACTTGTAAACCACCCAGAGAGGGCTTGAAGCGCTATGGGGCAGTATATAAGCAGCACACTTTTTTTTTTGCTTTGTTGCTAGTCTTTCTTTGTATCCACCTTGATGCTCATTCAGCTACTAAGTCTTCTTTGCCCAATTATGAGCCCAGAAGGCTTTCCCCCATCTGTTTTAATTATTTGAAGGATTAAGGGACCCTGAAGAGGGAAGGAGTACATAGAGATGGCTGCAAGCCTTCTGGAGAAATCAGTATCCCAGAGTTGACTGTCGCTTCCTCTCAGCCAGTAAGACATTAAACATTTAGCGACAACGGGCTACTAAGATTTTTTAGAAGACATAAATGAACCCATGTCATCACTATACAAATGAAGAAGAATGTGATAGCTGTATTTGACCACTAAAAAATTCAAAGAATTAATGTGAGCTTTTGTTAATTAAAAAATCACTTCTTCAGGCATGTACTAGTAACTTATAGATAGTGCAGAAAAATTAAAAATGAATATCCCAAAAATTCATAGCAGCTTGCCAGGCATCCTCTTAAGGTGAGTTCATAAGTGGTTGCAGCTACTATTTTGAATCAGTTAGTTATTAAATGGATACAAATCTAAATGGCTAGCTAAACCTCTGTGTCTAGAAACATGGAGATGGAAAGCTGAAATTTTATGACTCCTCAGAATAGAGTATGTGGAAAGAAGAGACAAGCCAAAGCTTCAACAGATGACAAGACTTAAACGTAATACTGTGAAACCTAGGCATTTGAAAATTGATATGGATACTACGGAGACTCTAGAGACAACAGTAGATTGCAAGTTTTCCAAACAAAAGGCACAATCTTCTGTCTTTGATATCGCCATTAGAAAGCATCTCAGACAAGAGGATCCCCTCCATTGAGAAGCAGCTGTTTGTTACATCAAACAGGGCTGTGTTAGAGGAGCCACTAGTATAATAATATGTAAGACAGCCTGTTTATCTTCTGATATAGTAAGAATTAAGAGTACAGTGTTATTGTTGTTGTTTTATTTATATCTCACATTTCTTCCAGTAAGCTCAAGATAGTGTACATGGCTTTCCTTTTCCTTAGTTCATTCTCAGGAAATTCTAAGAAACGATTAACAGTCCAAGGTACCCCTGTAAGTTTCATGGTTGGGTAGGGATATGAGCCCAAGTTGTCTTGTTGTTGTTGTTGTTTAGTCATTTAGTAATGTCCAACTCTTCATGACCCCATGGACGAGAGCATGTCAGGCCCTCCTGTCTTCCACTGCCTCCCAGAGTTGGGTCAAATTCATGTTGGTAGCTTCTAACTCCTAGCTAATCTCTCTCACCTAGCTCTCACACTGGAGCATGTTACCTTCTAGATCAGTGGTTCTTAACCTTGGGTTACTCAGGTGTTTTTGGACTGCAACTCCCAGAAACCCCAGCCAGCACAGCTGGTGGTGAAGGCTTCTGGGAGTTGCAGTCCAAAAACACCTGAGTAACCCAAGGTTAAGGACCACTGTTCTAGATGATGGTTCATCATATAGCCTTCCATCAGTCCAGCTAGCATAGCTAATTATGAAACATAATGAGAATTGCAGTGAAACCAATCTGACCAGAGTCTGCATCCTTATGATATAATTATTTTTCTTAATAATTCCTGCCAATATTTCATTTAGATTTATATTTGCTTGATACTTTTACCTGAAATAGACACCTTTATATAGAAGTAGTTTGCATCCTGTGTTGAAATTTTCTGCTTTGCAGATGAATGGATCTTTCCTGATAAGGAAAGTTCTCAACTGGAGTCCAGCAATCAGTCACTAATGGATTGCAAAATGCGTTGTAGCTTTTCAACCTCCCCACTGAGTGATGACAAGCCCTGTGAAAACAGACAAACAGCTGAAGAACAGCAGGAGGATATTTTCACCTATTCCTCAAAACCAAGATCTGCTCCCCATGGGAAACCTCTGAATCTTTCACCAGAAAGCTGCAGCATTTCTTTGGATTTAAAAGAGGAGATTGGTGAAGTCTGCCGTGGAGCTCAAATGGAAGAAGATTTCTATGGAAATGAGAGCAGTGAAGAGGTAAATTATTTGAACCGCAGTTACAGATCATCATGAATTAAAAAAACAAATCACCAAATTCATTCAAAAATTGCTAATTTGTCGATTCATCTTTATACAAATCAATGCCCTTGATGAATATGAATCAACAGATTTTAGAGATTTTTGATTTGTCAATTTGTTTGGCTATAAAACAACCCCTCAGGCACCTAGAGACACCAAAATTGCACAGAAGCTTCCTCTGCCTGCCCTCTACATTCCTTCCACGTTTGGTGAAGGTTGGGCTTCAGCTGTCTGAGCTATATACCCACAAAGAGCCCCCCTCAAGATAATTTCTCCCAGGCACCTAGAGACACCAAAATCATAGAGAAGCTTCTACTGACACTCCTCTATAATCCTTCCAAGTTTGGTGAAGATTGGGTTTACCCAGGCTAGCTGCTAAAGGGCTCTTTCCTGAGGGGACCCTCTTTGTGAGTGTATAACTTTTCTGAAGGCCAATCTTCACCAAATCTGGAGGGATTGTAGCGGAGTCAGTAGAAGCTTCCCTGTGATTTTGCTGTCTAGGTGCCTGGAGGAAACTTTCCAGGGTCAAATTCATGTTGGTAGCTTCGATGACACTGTCCAACCATCTCGTCCTCTGTTGTCTCCTTCTCCTGCCTTCACACTTTCCTAACATCAGGGTCTTTTCCAGGGAGTCTTCTCTTATCAGATGGCCAAAGTATTGGAGCCTCAGCTTCAGGATCTGTCCTCCCAGTGAGCACTCAGGGTTGATTTCCTTTAGAACCTAACTGTTGATGCACCGATACTCAGGCCTTTTCTGCCACTGTTCACAGCTGAGCTTATTGATGTGATGTTCCACTTGGGGGTTCCATGGCTCTGGTTGATCTTTCCTTGTCATCCAACAAAGTCCAGTAATTGTCCTCTGTACCAGCTGTAAAGGTTTTTAAAGAGTTAGGATCTTGATGCTCTACATTCTTAGGATCCACACATAGCAGTAACTCCTCCAGGGACAGACGGGCAATTCTGTTTACTGTACTCAGTGACAGATTGTGGTAGTCCATGTCAGGCTCTTGTGTGGAGTTGTCCCTTCTCTGCCTCTGCAGGAGTTCGCTTTCTGCTACAGGAAGCTGTTGTGTTTTCATCAGGTAGCCTGTTATGACTATCATAAGTTTTCTGATGTCAAATAAGAAATCCCTGATTTCTGATAATTAGGTCTGGTTATGAGCGTAAGGGTCATCTCTTGTGGAGGTATTGTTGCTGGGATGGGCTGATCTGGAGTGTTCTGGGCTTTCTCCACCTCAGTGGCTTCTACCAGGGCGTAATCTCTTCCAATACTCCTTGGGCTCTTTGATGCATCCGACAGGGCTCTTCCACCTAGAAAAGCATCTGATAAGGGGCTTAAGTCTAGTGATCTCATACGACCAAAATCCGCATCCAGTTTGCTAGATAGGCACATGGTATCCAGCATCTGAGAATTGTCAGCAACACTGTCTGGCAAGTCAATTATGGGGCTACTTGACTTCCCAAGGTAGTCAGACTCCTTATGGTTTGCTCTAT